CCCAAAGTGCTGGGATTACAGGTGTGAGCCACCGCCCCCGGCCTGTAGTTGTATTGAATTTTAGCATGGTCCATGAAATTCAAATTCTGAGTTTTAAGCCATAATATATTCATATGATCTATATTCAGTCACAGGATATATACATATATCATTAAGCAGAAAATAAAGCATCTGAGAACCACAGTTATTATGATTATAGTAAATTTCTTTAGACTGAAAAGCTATACAGAGATGCCACATTGAAAAGGATGTTATAAAATTATCAGAAACTCTTAAAAAGCTAACACAGTGATTCATGAAAACATTTTTAAAAGAATATTGGAAGGAGATATTTTTGTTATATTTAATTTAATCCAAACAGTTCTCTCCTGCCACAAGGAACAGTGTCTTTTGTGTTCATGAGACATCCAAGCTTCGCTCATAAGTCACGGACCTCATAACTGCAGCATCATTTTTTTTTTGAGACAGAGTCTACCTCTGTCACCCAGACTGGAGTGCAATGGCACGATCTCAGCTCAGCACAACCTCCGCCTCCCAGGTTCAATCTATTCTCCTGCCTCAGTTTCCCAAGTAGCTGGGATCACAGGCACATGCCACCAAGCTGGCTAATTTTTTGTATTTTTAGTAGAGACGAAGTTTCACTGTGTCAACCAGGATGGTCTCGATCTTCTGACCTCGTGATCCACCCACCTTGGCCTTCCAAAGTGCTGGGATTACAGGCGTGAGTCACCGTTCCCGGCCATCATTTTCAAAAGGAATTAAAATTTGCCATTCTTTCTGATACACTGCCAGTCCTGTCAACACCTTCCTGGACAGCATGTTTCTACTGTTACTGCAGAGGGTTACCTGGGAAGAAAGGAGCTAGGGAGCTGAGGTCCAGGACCAGCTAAACTAGATTTATTCCAGAAAGATTTCACAAATACTGAAACATGCAGATAAAAAAAGGAAGGAAAGAGGGAAGGAGAAAGAGGTAGAAGTGTGCATCCAATACTAACAAAACAAAAACAAAATTTAATTACAATTTTCTAACCTGATGCCATTGTTTTTTTGGTTTTCTTACAGGAAGCTATAGATCAATTCTTTCAATGTATCTGACTATATCCATGACACTAAAGAGGGTAAACTATATAACTCTCTGCCTTATTTATTGCTTAAAAAGATGAGTCTTTAGTCTGCCTAAGAATTCATCAGAATTAGGATTTTGTGACATTAACTTTATTGTAATTTATTTTATAGGAATTAACCTAAATCGGCATAGGAAAATGTTTAAATAAATTATGCTTTTGCATACTATGGAATATCATACAGCCATTATAAGTCACGTTTATGAAAATTTACTCCTAGTAGAAAATGATTATAAAATCCTGTGGAAAAACTACTTAACAGATATAGTATGATTTCAACCCCATAACATACATTAAAAAGATACTAAAGAGCACTACACCAAATATTAACAGTAATAACTTTAGATTGGTGAAATGTCTTTTCCTGTGTGTTTTTCATACATTCTAGGCTGTTTTAGATTGTCTGCACCACTAGGTTTTACTTTAATAATCAGGCATATAATTACTCAAAAGTCTATTTAGCCAATATGACTGGTATTTTAACAAAATGTGGCTTTTTTAAAAAAAATTTTATTTTTGAGAAAGTCTCACTCTGTTGCCCAGGCTGGAGTGCAGTGGCACAATCTCAGCTCACTGCAAACTCCGCCTCTTGGGTTCAAGCAATTCTCCTGCCTCAGCCTCCCGAGAAGTTGGAATTACTGGTGCCCAGCTAATTTGTGTATTTCAGTAGAGATGGGATTTCACCATGTCAGCCAGGCTGGTTGTTTTGTTGTTGTTGTTGTTTTGTTTTGTTTTTTTCTGAGACAGAGTTTCACTCTTGTTGCCTAGGCAGGAGTGCAAAGGCGCGATCTTGGCTCACCTCAATCTCTGCGTCCCCAGTTCAAGCGATTTTCCTGCCTCAGCCTCCCAAGTAGCTGGGATTACAGGCATGCACCACCACGCTCAGCTAATCTTGTATTTTTAGTAGAGACAGGATTTCTCCATGTTGATCAGGCTGGTCTCCAACTCCTGACCTCAGGTGATCCACCAGCCTCGGCCTCCCAAAGTGCTGCGATTACAGGCGTGAGCCACCTCACCCAGCTGATCATTTTAAAATATAGTAGTTTAAGACTGGGGGATGGGTGAAGAGCTGACTGATTGAAATATGATTTAAAACTGAACAGCAGCAAAGACACATGGAACCCTGCACAGCTTGCTATCTTCCCTGCTTTGCCTTGGACAAGAGCCCCCATTGCAGCAGGCCATTCAGAAAGAAAATGAGGCTACGTGGTGGGTGGGTCACATGAGGTCCAGAGTTCGGGAAGAGCCTGGCCAACATGGTGAAATCTCATCTCTACTAAATATATAAAAATTAGCTGGGTGTGGTGGCAGGTCCCTGTAATCCCAGCTACTCAGGAGGCTGAGGCAGGAAAATTGCTTGAACCCAGGCGGTGGAGGTTGCAGTGAGCCAAGATTGCACCATTGCACTCCAGCCTGAGCAACAGAGAGACACTCTGTTTCCAAAAAAAAAAAAAAAAAATGGCCGGCGTGGTGGCTAACGCCTGTAATTCCAACACTTTGAGAGGTCAAGGTCGGCGGATCACCTGATGAGGTCAGGAGTTCGAGACCAGCCTGAGGAATCTGCGAAACCCCATCTCTACTAAAAATACAAAAATTAGCTGGGCATGGTATCGGGCGCCTGTAATCCCAGTTACTCAGGAGTCTGAGGCAGGAGAATCGCTTGAATCCAGGAGACAGAGTTTGCGGTGAGCTGAGACTGCACCATTGCACTCCAGCCTAGGCAATAAGACCAAAACTCCATCTCAAACAAAACAAGTCCTGCTTTGCTAGCTTGAAATACAAAATATTGTATTTCTTTCTTTTCTTTTTTTTTTTTTTTTTGAGACGGAGTTTCGCTCTTGTTACTCGGGCTGGAGTGCAATGGCACGATCTCGGCTCACTGCAACCTCTGACTCCTGGGTTCAAGCAATTCTCCTATCTCAGCCTCCCGAGTAGCTGGGACTACAGGCACGCACCATCATGCCCAGCTAATTTTTGTATTTTTAGTAGAGACGAGGTTTCACCTTGTTGACCAGGATGGTCTCGATCTCTTGACCTCGTGATCCACCCGCCTCGGCCTCCCAAAGTGCTGGGATTATAGGCGTGAGCCACCGCGCCCGGCCTTTTTTTTTTTTTGAGACGGAGTTTCGCCCTTGTTGCTCAGGCTGGAGGGCAATGGCATGATCTCAGCTCACCGCAACCTCTGCCTCATGGGTTCAAGTGATTCTATTGCCTCAGTCTCCTAAGTTGCTGGGGTTACAGGTGCATGCCACCACACCCAGCTAAGTTTTGTATCTTTAGTAGAGATGGGGTTTCTCCATATCGGTCAGGTTGGTCTCAAAAACTCAACCTCGGGTGATCCACCCACCTCGGCCTCCCAAAGTGCTGGGATTACAGGCGTGACTCACCATGCCTGGCCAAAGTCAATTATCTATCATTTCTATTTAAAAAATCATTTTGTCATCCTTCTACCAAGATTTTCTCACTGGTTCTTTTTCACTATCCACCCTAATCTCACAGGTCATGTGGTCCTGGCACACGTCTTTGACTGTTTGATCTCCCCTTTCCTTTTCAGCCACTAAATTTGCCCATCACTCTATTCCCTTCAACTTCTGCTAACTCCTGATTAAGGGCAGTTTAATTCTCTCTCTTTTCCTGTAATTCCTTAAGACCTTAACATTGGGACCTCACTTCTACAATGAAAGTGCTCCATTTTCCTAAGAAGGATAGCTCTTCTTATAAGAGAAACTGAAGTTTTCACCATTGAAATCACATTTGAAAATATAACTGTAGACACATATCAATTCCAAAGCACTGATTGACTGATTGAGGCAGAGTCTTACTCTTGCCCAGGCTGAAGTGCAGTGTTGTGATCTCGGCTCACTGCAACCTCCACCTCCCAGGTTCAAGTGATTCTCATGCCTCAGCCTGCCAAGTAGGTGGGACTACAGGCACCACTAATTTTTGTACTTTTTAGTAGAGATGGGGTTTCACCATGTTGGCCAGGCAGGTCTCGAACTCCCAACCTCAGGTGATCTGTCCGCCGCAGCCTCCCAAAGTGCTGGGATTACAGGTTTGAGCCACCACACCTGGCCCAAAACATTTATTCAAGACTGTAGTTCTGAAACCATGCCAGAGGCTGACAATAAAACATATTCTCTATTGTGCCAATTATTAAGCTATTGTGTCTCACCTGCAAACTCACCCTTTCCTACTCTGCTCTAAGATGCTGTGACTAGGACTCTGTAAACTACATTTCTGCTTTGCCAGCTCGCTGTATATTTGATTCTGCTAATACAAGGCTCCCGTGGGAGTCAGCAAGTGCAAAGAAGGAAGAAACTTGCTCCTTCCTATTTCTTTCTTCTGGAGCTTCCTTCTGCACGCAATTCCTGGAAGCGTCACACTGGCAATGCTTCTTCAACCTGGCAATAGCAGCTCCTTCCCATAGCAGCAGCTGAAGCCAGGTGGAAGTCTGCCAATACCTGGAGAACTAGCTTCATCATGCCCCCATCTCAGAGAAAACAGCACCAGTCAGCAGGTGCCCCTGAGGTTCTGAGGCTTAGCTCCACTGGGGCCTCCTTTAACTTTCTAAATGTTAATAATTCCAACTTCTTCCTTTTCTACTCTCTGCCCAGGGATGGATGTTGCTGCTTTTTGCAGTTGCTACATCTGTGATACATTAGACTTCTCTTTTTATTTTTTCAGTTGTTTACGCCTTTATATTTAGCTAATCCATTATATTAAATTCTGTCAGTAAAAATAACTGGAGTGGTTTCTGTCTCCTGACCAGAATTTGACACATCTGTCATCAAGGACCTGCTGGTCTGAAGCAGAAGACTGTCTCTTCTGAGAAAGGTATATGTCACAGGAAGTACAGGAGAACATGGATGAGAAAGTTAAAGTTCAAATTTATCCTGGGAAACAACAGGTGTAGACGTAGATATGTTCATACATACCAACCAAGGAAAATATTTTGGAATTTTTTCACTTTTGCAGATAATAAAGCGCACTCTTTAAAAATGTTAAAGCATGGCATAACCTTGTGTCTTTTCTGCATGACTTTCTTGCAACTTAGCTTTGAATCTTGGGACGGGCACAATGGCTCATGCCTGTAATCCCAGCACTTTGGGAGGCCAAGGTGGGTGGATCATGAGGTCAGGAGTTCGAGACCAGTCTGGCCGATATGTTGAAACCCCATCTCTACTAAAAATACAAAAATTAACCGGAGTTGGTGGCGTGCACCTGTAGTCTCAGCTACTCAGGAGTCTGAGGCAGGAGAATTGCTTTAACTCGGGAGGCGGAGGTTGTAGCAAGCCGAGATCACGCCACTGCACTCCAGCCTGGATGACAGAGTGAGACTCCATCTCAAAAAAAAAAAGAAAGAAAGAGAGAGAAAGATTTAATCTTTGTACAGATAAGATCCTGCAATCTCAATGTGACAGAGCCAGTCCAGGAACAATTTGCTATGTGAGGCTACTCCAGACCACACTATTTAATAGCTTCTGTCTTTCAATAATAAAGGAAAAAAAACAACTCAGTTCTCCCTGAGAAGGTGGGAGACTAGAGAGCAAAGTGGTGAAAACTTCAACATTGAGAACAAAGCAAAACAAATCAAATAGATTAAAGGTAAATAGAATGTTTCTGAATTTGACAAAACATAAGTACAGTCAGCCCGCTATATCTGTGGTTTCTGCATTCATGGATTCAATCAACTGCAATAAAAAAAATTCAAAAAAAATGATGTCTGCACTGAATATGTACAGACTTTTCTTGTCACTATTCCCCGAACAACACAGTATAACAACTATTTACACAGCATTTACAGTGTATTAGGTAGTATAAGTAACCTAGAGATAAATTAAAGCATACAGAAGGATGCACATAGGTTATATGCAAACACTGTACCATTTTGTATCAGAGACTTGAGCATCCTCTCATTTTTTTTTTTTGTACAGATTTAAGAGATACAGCAAGCACAATTTTGTTACATGAATGTATTATGTAGAGGTGAAATCTGAGCTTTTAATGTAACCATTGTCCAAACAACAACTTTGGATTCTGATATCCAAGGGAGGTCCTAGAACCAAGCCTCCATAAGTCCCAAGGGCTGATTATATTTGAAGATTTTGTATCTATTTACAATTATCAATAATTAACTGAGCTTTTATGAGTTAAATGCTTTACATCATCTCAAATCTCATGTAAACTCATAACAACTCTTTAATTTAGGTGCTTTCATTACCTTAATTTACAGATGAGAGAACTGAGGCCTAAACAGTTTAAGGAGCTTTACCAAGACCAAACAACCAGTAAGTGGGTGAGAATGAGAACGCCAGCTTGTTTGACATAAAGCCAGACCTCTTCACCGGGAGGGAAACTGATTCACCTTAAGCTCTTTAAGAGTGTTGCATAAAATACTAGCAAGTTGGAATCGTCACACTTAAGGACTTTTGTGTAGTTTCCTATTAGAGCTGCAAAGCCATGTTTAGAATGGTAGTTTTGAAACAGTATTCAAGTGCTTTACAAACCAAACACCAATTGAAGGACCTCAAGAGAAATTTGAGAATTATGAGGTACATGCAAGATTTAATTTAAATGACAGCAAGCTGACACACTACATATTATTTTCCTGGTTTGATATTAATATTTATGGAAACTTTTTAAATGTTTCTTGAGATATATTTTTCATCTTTGTCTCTTCATTAACTAGTATAATACCTGAACTATGATACATTTTAATAAAGATTTGTTGAAGAGAAAGAAGAATTTGGTCAATTCATGTCCCCATCATGCTTTAATGAATATTCAAATGTGTAGACTGTCTGCCTACATAGCTTTTTTTTTTTTTTTTTTTTTTTGAGGTTGTCTTTTTTTTTTTTTTTTTCTTTTTTGAGATGGAGTCTCGTTTTTGTTGTCCAGGCTAGAGTGCAATGGCATGATCTCAGCTCACTGCAACCTCCACCTCCCAGGTTCAAGCAATTCTCCTGCCTCAGCCTCCCGAGTAGCTGGGATTACAGGCATGCACCACCATGCCTGGCTAATTTTGGTTTTTGTTTGTTTGTTTGTTTGTTTCTGAGACAGAGTCTTGCTCAGTTGCCCAGGCTGGAGTGCAGTGGCACGATCAGGGCTCACTGCAACCTCCGCCTGCCAGGTTCATGCGATTCCCCTGCCTCAGCCCCCCAAGTAGATGGGATTACAGGTGCTTGCCACCACGCCTGGCTAATTGATATTTTTTATTTTTATTTTTTTGTATTTTTAGTAGAGATTGGGTTTCACCACGTTGGCCAGGCTGGTCTTGAATG